GGTTCACCTATCGTCCGGTTCACACTCCTCCCCGGTCTTTTGAGCAGGAGTAAAGGTTTATCCTTTGTTCCTTGTTTAGAAGGAACCGGAAGACCAATCCTAAAATCTTTTCATTCTCCTTCATTCCCAGTAGCCCTTTGCGTCTTAGTGGCATTATCGCCTTGCTTGAGGTGAATTGATATATATATAAAAAAATAAATAAAAAGGGACGTTTATTGAAATGAAATTTTACGATCTCACCCCGTTTATTACTCTTTAAATGATTTTCAGAAGCCCACTTTCTAGTAAGAACCCCGTGTTTATTGCATATTGAGAAAATTTCCCGCCCTCACCAATTAAGACCACCCTTTGCATCAGGCACCTCAGTAAATATGGAATTTGCCGATTTAACTACTTTTCAGTTTGGGGGCTAAAATTTCTTTCGCCAGCACTTTAAGAATATTTGTACATTGAATAGACAGGAAGAAGGAGATTTTAAGTGATCAGAATTTACTACAAAAATGTTACGGATTGAATCAGGTTACATATATAAGTCTAATGATTATCTATAGATTAGAAAATATGTTTCCCCCATAACGAGTAAAAGTCAGAATCCTGTAAATAATTCGTTTCCGCTGCCGTGTTCTGTCAAATTTTGCTAACATTCTCTCATTTCAATGTGTGTTGAAAAAAAGGCATTCATTTTTGTTGAACTTTCTTTTCAGAAATATTTGTTTGTCAAGTTTTTTGGCGGAAATAAATCCAGTCAAGTAGATTTTGTATTAATTGGAGAATCTTGCATCAAAATCTTGAAATATTTGTGTTAGGAGTTAAATTTGTGACAAACGGGATGGTGTCCCAGATTTTCTGAATAACTTTTGCGTACTGTGATATTTGAGACTATATTCAAGGGGAGGAGTGCACACAAAGGGTGGGGGAGGGGGTGAGTGAATGAAAGAAGGGGACAGACAGACGGAAAGACATACACGGAAAAATACACACATACATGGAGAGTGGGACAGACAGAAACACACACACACACATACAATGACAGATGGGAAGAGAGAAAGACAACCTGAAACCGAAATACACACACAGACGGAAAGAGAGAGAGAGAAAAAAAAAACATACACAAGGAGACGGAAAGAGAGAGATGGAAACACACACACAGATACCGACAGACAGAATCACGCACAGACAAATATGCACACGCACACATACAGTCGGAAACGTAAATACGCGCACACACACAGACGGAAACGTACAGACGCATACACACGCACGCAGACAGACGGAAACGTGAACACTTACACACACAGAGTCGGAAACGTGGACATGCACCACACACACGCAGACAGACGGAAACGTGGACACGCACAACACACACGCAGACAGACGGAAACGTGGACACGCACAACACACACAGAGGGAAAGAAAGTGTGAGATATATCTAGCCGTTACAAATATTATGGATGATAGATGTGACATCTTTTAGGGCCCAGATAGAAAAAAAAATGCTAATTCTTCAGACATGTAAATAAATAAAAATTTTCTCCTCTCATTTCATTTGAACGAGGCTCAAAGCAATGTTGGTTGCTTCCTTTTTATGATTCACTATCTTATACAAAGCTGCAGAAATGACGTAAGAAGTGAATAGGTAACAATCACCTGTGAATAATAAATAAACCGACCTATGCCCTCCTCCTCCTCCTTTCAGTTTCTTTTTATTCTATTCACCTTCCACTATTCTTCGTCTCGTCGTTCATCCAATACAAAACCAACTGAGTGGAAAAGATAGCAAATGGCTTTTTATGATTTGGAAAAAAAAAAAAAAAAAAAAAAAAAAAAAAAAAAAAAGAAAAAAAATCTCGCATAAAGAACAACGCACTTAACGAGATTACAGAGGGACATCTATTATTCCAGAAAGATCTGGCACATCTGAACACAGTACTACAGAAAGTGTAGTATCGTGCTTTGATTCTCCAGATCTCAAGAAATTCTTAAATCGGGTACGCAAGAGAAATTACGGCGCTACGTGTGGTTTGTAAAAAAAAAAAAAAAAAGAAAAAAAGAAAAAATGGAATTTTGAATTAATCACAATCAACTGAAAGCATCTCATGCGTCTTGTTAACCTGACGTATTGTTGGTAATACTATAAATCAAAAGCCTATTCCATAAAATCAAATATCTCAGGTTTGTACGTTTATTTACGCTCGTGTAATTTTTTTCTCATCCACTTACCATTGTGAAACAAAAAACAAAACAAATTTCGCACAAGAGAAAGAGAAGAAAGAAAGCGAAAGAAGGAAAAAGAAGGAAAGAAGGAAAAGAAAGAAAGAAAGAAGAAAGAAAAAGAGAAGAAAGAAAGGAAAGAAGGAAAAGAGAAGAAAGAAAGCGAAAGAAGGAAAAAGAGAAGAAAGAAAGCGAAAGAAGGAAAAAGAGAAGAAAGAAAGCGAAAGAAGGAAAAAGAGAAGAAAGAAAGCGAAAGAAGGAAAAAGAGAAGAAAGAAAGCGAAAGAAGGAAAAAGAGAAGAAAGAAAGCGAAAGAAGGAAAAAGGGAAGAAAGAAAGCGAAAGAAGGAAAAAGGGAAGAAAGAAAGCGAAAGAAGGAAAAAGGGAAGAGAGAAAGCGAAAGAAAGAAAATAAAAGAAAGAAGAAAAAGAAAAAAAAGGAAAAGAAAAATGAAAAAAGGAAAAGAAAAAGAAAAAAGGAAAGAGAAAAAGAAAAAAGGAAAGAGAAAAAGAAAAAAGGAAAGAGAAAAAGAAAAAAAGAAAGAGAAAAGGGAAAATAAAAAGTAAACGGGAAAAGGAAAAAGAAAAGAAAATGAAGTAAAAGAAAAAAGTTCTTTAGTGTATATGAGCAGAATTGTAGTAGTCATTTCTTGCGTTTCTGTACTGATTTGTTACACAGAAAATTCTGAAACAGTGAAATTTTCCCCAAATCTCCACGGATAGCGTATTAGCAATTGGTCAGGTTTCAGTGTTTATGTTAATAGGTTAAAAGTTGGGAATTTTAAGTTACAAATTGGTTAAGCACTAAATAATGTCGCAACCCAAACTACGTACTAGTTTAAGGAACATTAAGTTTCTCACGTGGTTTGCATAATTGTAACATGTTATTTTTTAAACAATCCTTTCTTAGACTTGAAACAGTAAGAGCAACGTATTTTTTTTTTATCAGGCCACTTTTAAGTTTTATTCTAAGCTGCTAGATTCACTAGATAGACTCTTATTAGCAGAGACAGAATAGATACACGTTTGCATTATATATTACTTCAAACGTTATTTTTAGTGGATACCCATATTTGAGTAGACGCTCCGTTTATTTTAAGCAGTATTTACTTCGTCTACCGGCCTGCATACGCGACCAACTCACCAATCTCCTTTGGAAAATTGGCACCGAATTCTCAGGATTAACTTTACAGAATTTGTTCGGAAAATTGAACTTTCTGTTGGGTTCAGCATGTCGTAGAATCAACCGACCTGTCTAACAACATTTAGGTTGAGCCATTCCACATCCTACGGTTTTCCAGTTTGCAATGCCGAGAAAGCGAAACCTTCTCTACCCACACGGATTGCGCAGCTGAGGAAGGCCGTTGTATGGATCATCCGAAAAAGTTGCGTAAAGTCCATAGACAACATAAGGAATCATTTGCTTGAACAACTTTTGGAAAGAAAACAAACTAGATCAATTATATTATAACAAGGTTAGCGTGTGTGTGTGGGGGGCGGTAGTTTCTAAGATTCATGAATTCATAATGTCGATGCGAAAAAGCGCGAATAAAATGGAATTATTCTTATTTAATGAAAATTAAAATTTAAAGATTAACGGATATGCCTTGAAAGGAAAGCTATAAAGTTCATAAGTGTGAAATAAAAGTTGAAGATACAAATATGGACGACTTAGTGATTAATGAACAATACTTCGGCGCAGAACTTCAAGACAGACAATGTACAGATTGACGTTGTCGACTTACGACTGTTCGACTTTACGATCACGACCGCGAATTGGTATGTCTGGCTTTGTGAGTGTTTCCCCAGATTGGTGTACGACAATTTCTGCCCCCAGCTTTCGGCAGCGTTAGAATCCCTTCGCGAGCCTCAAGCTCGGTGAACATAAATTTGAAATAATGCGAGGGGGGTGGGGGGAGATAATAAAACTGGTAAGTCACCATTCTTTGGAGTGCGAAATGGAAGATGCCGAAGAATCTTTAGACCTAGCATCCGCAGAACTTACAAATGAAGAGTTAATCACATCGGAAGAAGAAAGAGTGATGTCAGAGGAAGCGGAGAAAGAAAAGGAGGGGGAGGAGCCAGAGATGAAATTTACAACTAAGGGATTATCAGAAGGTTTATCTCTGCTGAATAAACTCCTTGCACATTTTGAAGGCATGAACCCAAATATCGATCGATTTACAAGGATTGAACGGATAGCACGTGATGTGTTTCGACCTTGTCGTGAAATTTACGAGGAGAAAAAGAAACAAATAATTCAGACAAAGCTCGCCAGATTTGTTTGTATGTATTTTGGTATGTTTTCCAACTAAAATGTTTACAGAGATTCAATGCAAATGTAATCAAACGTAAAGAAACCGTAAAAATTGACAAAAAAAAAAAAAAAAACACACACACACAATAAAGTCTAAAGAAAGGTTAGATTTCAAAATTAATTACAAGCCGATTTACGACTTGACGGGCGTAACTAATCGTGGTCGTAAGTTGACGACGACCTGCAGTTATTTTTCGACAACAGTCTTCAATTGTGAACCTTAAGTTGCTGTTTATTTCATACATTTCGGAAATGTCACGATGCTTAAAAATGAATTAATTTATGGCAAAATATAAGTTATGACAAGTATATTTAAACTTTGTTAAGGAGTTGGGGGCCCAAGTTTGTTCATTGATGTAGGAAAAAGATTGAAAAAAGCTTTTCAATTCAAAAATGAATCATTAATAATAAATTTGTACCATTTTTATATGAAGAGACCGAAAGAGGTTAGGAAATATTACATACTCGGTAGGCTGGAAGAAAAAAAGCCTAGATTGACGCAAGTGCGGAGTAGCGTAGCGGCGATCAGCACAGAAAAAGAAAGCGGCGATCAGCACAGAAAAAGAAAGCGGCGATCAGGGTTCGATTTCAGTCCAAGACTGTTTATTTCGTACTTATGCACCTCTATGAGTTTATTCCTAAACAAACGGCTTTTAAGTCCAGAAGGACTAGAAATCCAATGATAAATAATAAGCCATGTTTTAGGTAGTAACTTCCCACACTACTCAGAGGAGCAGAAGCGCGCTCTGGTGTCTGCGGCATTCATGAGCGCCATGCTAAATTACGACATTGACTAGGGTACTGTATAAGGTGGTTATACGAATTACCTTCCACAAAATACCCTTATATGGCGTCCAATGGATAAGGCATTAATTTATTTCTTGTGTTTTTTCTCGTCACAAAAATTGAGAAAGAAAAGAGCAGGTGAATGGACACTTTAACAAACCACTTTCCCATAACTACTAACCTTCCCAAGGAAATAGCAAAAAGGAAAACAAACTGTTGTTCTCTTCATATCAGCTTATATTAACTTTGTTCAAATTAATCTACAGTGTAACCCGGATATAAGAGAGTTGTCGGGACCGGAGTAGAAGTCTCTTATATCCGGGTTTGGTCTATTTTATATACATTAACACAGGCTCTAATTTGGGACCAGAGAAAATCTCTCTTATATCCGGGTTACACTGTATAACTTATTGCTAAGTCAATTTCTGACAGTTGTTTTGTGTGCAAATATTCCCAGCAATGCTATTCACGTCTCCATTTTAGCTTACCATTGAAGAACCGACACAGCTTGTACGGTGAGTACAATGAGTAAAAGAATGTTTGTTCTTAAAAAAAAAAAAAAAAAAAACTTTGATGCAGACTTCTGTTCAAGGACAACGAGTACACTCCCGTGCCTAACAAGCTGGGCGCGGAAGGCTAACTTCCATTTTTTTTTTTTTTTGCAATCTTGCTTTTTAATCAAGTATATTCACTTGTGACCTTTGCAATTTAAAGATTTTTTTATAGGTCATGCCGACCCCCTCAACTTATGTTAAAACAGAATGCGCTAGCGGTGCCAACTTATTTTGACCCCCCCCTACTCCCAAACTAAGAATTTGCAAGAAATTTCTAACTTCACCTAGTTATAAGAAACCCTCCTCCCCCGAATAATTAGAGAATACGAAGCAACTGAACGGATGTAGGGAAAATAACGCCTTTTATTATCGAAAATATGGATGTCATCAGGTCAAATCTTTGCTAAAAGATCATCTCAGAAATGCAAGTCAAGCTCATTAGTCTTAATTAATAAATCAGGATAATTATAACTGCACCTTTGCTTTTACTGATGAAAATTAGTCTACGATAAACTCGATATCAATTTGTTTTCCAATCCCTTCTTTACATTCATCAGAACAAAGACACAAAATAATAGTTTCCGTTGATTGATTTATTTTTACGTCATAAAATGATTTAAGAATATCATCATCCTGGTTATTTCTCGCTCATGATAACCAAAAAAAAAAAAAAAAAAAAAAAATAGACCATACATTTAAAGAAAGTTTTTCAAGAATCAATGACATCTTGTTTGATACGAACACATTAATGGCCAAAATCTAGTAATACTTATTTTCAATAATACAAAAATGTGGCACAAGGCCAAAAGCGGGGATAGGGGAAGCCTGGTCTTCAGTCTGTATTAACTTAAATTTAGCTAGCCATGATTACTGAATCAAGCATACCACAAAGATCCTTACACCAAAATAATACATTCTTACTTAGTATTCTTACTACAGTCACCATAATACCACAAAGTCTCTATGTAGTCCTAACTTGTTTCCATATTTACACTTTGTCTTTGAAGGGGGGGGGATCAAAATAACATTTAAAAATGAAACCCCAATAAATACAAATTTGTATACAAGAAACTAAACAAATGGTGTTAGTAATAAGAAAAAAACACCATCCTTAATTGTGGCAGGAAAATCAGTTAGTCCCACATTAATTTCGTCCAGCTATGTAATTAACAATCATTCGACAAAACACACATTCATCTGTACAATCTAGTATTAATTTAAAAAAAAAATTAAATCCCAGTATTATAGGTTTGTATTTATAGCCCTCAGTCTCAAAAATAGGACGATGAACATTAAATGGGGTAAGAAAATACGCGGTAGTGCTCAGGCCACATACCACAACCTCATCATTTTAAAAAGAATGATTTTACAGTGTAACCCGGATATAAGAGAGTTGTCGGACCGGATAAGAAGTCTCTTATATCCGGGTTTGGTCTACTTTGTTTAGGTAAGTATGGGCTCTAATTTGGGACCAGAGAAAATCTCTCTTATATCCGGGTTTCTCTTATATCCGGGTTTCTCTTATATCCGGGTTACACTGTATTTAGTAAATAGGAAACAAATAAAAATACCTACCTAAATGAAGTCCAAAATTGGAGATACGGTTTCAATTTACTGGCTGAGGACTGTTCAACATTAAGCTTTCACGTCGTGATCCAAATCATCGTTAAACTCCTGATGTCTATTTTATAAGAGTTCCTGGTCGCTGTTCTCAGTATGGTTTCCGTAACAAAAATATCAAATCCGCCATGTTCCTTATTGCACCAGTTATCATCGCCTGCAAATTTTCTCCCGAGAATGTTAAACTATAAAAAAATAAATAAATAGATTATCAAAAACATGTTCCAGATTATATTTTTGGTTTGTTTAGCATAGAGATTACAAAACTGTCGATTAGAGGAAGAGCTCTTTTCAGTGGGTAATCATTTTTCCAATGTAGAACAAGATTTACAATCTTTCAGTGCTACAGAAACAACATTTTTCCCCTGACGGAAGCATCTCAATACAGCATTACCCATCATTATTAAACATTACAAAAGTCCTCGAAAATATTTTTACTATTATGGTTGCACATGCATAAAAAAAAAACCCTCAATAATTTAGTAGAAACAGAAAAGCAATTATGTCATTCTTAAATATATCCCCCAACTTTCGTGTGCTTCATGAAATCAGCAAAAAATCCCTAACAAATTGTTTACAAAAAAGTAAAGATATTTTTAAGCGCAGTTCCCTCTAAAATTTGACATGATTTTTTTATCCAGGAAGATGTAAGATTTGCTGAAGCCAAGCTTTTTTTTTTTTTTTTTTAAACAAATACAGTAATCTTTAAAATACTTTAAGCATTCTGATATTTTATTAAATTTTAGGTACTTTGGCTTTATATAGTCTTACTTACGAAGACGCTTGTTGAAAAATGTTAGCATTTTACCAAGAAAAATTTATTATAGCTACCTCTTATTTATTTATTTATTTTTTGATAATGTCATGTATTTAATAACAATATCACTTGACCGCAAGAAATTAATACAGAATTTTAGATTTAAAACTTTATAAATTATTCTAATAAAAATTTTAAGGAAATGAAAATTCTTCTAAAACCTCGCCGAATTTTTCATAAGAAAATAGTGTCCATATATTTTTATTCTTGAAACAATTAAAAGCTTTTCTAATTAAATAAATATTTAATATATAGGGGTTCCTTTAGTTTCGTTTCCGTGTCTGCTATCAACACTGTGATATCTGTATATTTAATATTGTTAAGATTGTGAGCGCCAATAATGAAATCTGGCAAGACTTCTAATTCTCTCAGGATCGCTTCACACATCCTTGTCTTAGACCCTTTTCTAGTTTTGTGTTTTTACTGACTTCATTTTCTATCCGTATGCAAGCAGTTTGTTCCGGGTATAAATTGTGGATTATTCTAATATCCTTCTCAAATAAATCAAGCTTACCTAGCAGTTCAAGTAGTTCTTGGTATCGTACTTTATCAAACGCTTTTGCATAATCTATAAAACGTAGGTATACATCCTTTTTGCATTTGTATTGCTCTTTCTGGTATAATTCTGAGCAAAAAGTGAATTTTCATATCTGCTCTGTTTTGTATCTAAACGCAAACAAAGTATGGATTTTTATTTATTAATCTCACTTAAAAGGCACTGTAAAATCTTTGCTTGAACGGCAAGGTTGCTCCGTAGCCGAGTTGGTTAAGGGATCTAACGATGATTTCCCCTCTGCTAAGAAGAACCAAAGTTCGAATCCTGTCGGAGAGCGCATATTTTTCTTTAAGATTTCTCGATTATTCAGGCCGTTAGACGAAAATAAATATACTGTTTAATAAATAAGAAATGTAGCGACTACTCAGATATGCGTGTCCACTAAAATTAACTTTATATATATATATATACAATAACAAACGGATTTTCATTTATGATAATTTTTTTCCATAGTCTATACCTCCCCACCACTAATTCATCTAAACTGAGTCTTTGAAAAAATGTCTGTTGTCCAGCCGACTACCGGCAATTTTAAAAAAACAAAAAACAATTGTATCTAAACAATATAGGTAAATTCTAGCAAATGGATTTTCCTGACGTCAAACAAAAATGTCATTATTTTTTGTTAACATGAATTCAAGTAACAAATTTATTGTTTAAATTATTTTATCACTCACTCACCTAATTCTAGGTAGACATTGTAAGCTGTTAGTCCAGAAGCACCTCCGCATATCAAGGTCTTCTGTTAGTATCAGTAGCGGGGAGTAGATAGGTTCGTCTATCGTCTGGATCACACCCTTCCCGATTTTACAAACGGGAGTAGAGTTTTATCCCTTGCTTCTTTTTTAGGATTCAGTTTCTGATCCCTTCTAAAGTCTACTTCGACTTTATACTCATAAATTCAACGCTAATTCAGCTTCACACAGTAACCCTCTACCTTGAGTAGCTCTCAGGTCTTGTATTGAGTGAACATTAGAAAAAGAAAAGTGAGATTGTATTCATCACCAGCATATTAAGCCTGTTGCATAGCTTACAGCACCTGGTATTCCCCAGAGATCACCCATCTAAGCACTGACCAGTCTCAATGTTGTTTAACTTCGTTGATTGGACGAGAACCGGTGTTTCAACGTGATGCGGCCGTAAGCTTAATTATTTTACTCATTTTTAGTATATTGAAGATGTAGGAGGGGGAATCGAAAGTTCGTCCCGGCATCATTTGTTGCCATTGATTGCTTTCTTAGACTCATGAGGTGTGTGTTTACGCCTGTTACTTACACACCTGGAAAAGGTAAATGCAAGAACTACTAGAAGAACAGAGGATCCGGATGAGAATCATTGAAACTGGCAGGAGTTACCACACAGGAAGGGCATTGAAACCAGCCATGCCATCCCAATCTGACATCATTCAAAGAGAGTTTTAATCAATTAATAAATTATGTCTGGATCCAACGATTAAGAAATAAATATTTCTATCATTTCCCGTCGCCTGAATGGCGTTGGTGGGGGTTTCATAGGCAGGAGGTGAAGGCTAGAAATGGATGCTGATGCAGACTCTGGACGAAGGAATGTGACAATGTAATCACAATTATCGTGATTCATGGAAAGAAAAAGAAATAACAAAATCAACTCTAGTAGTCATCATCATCATCACCAGCCTTTTTTTTTCCGACAAGAGCACTCGCCCTCTCTCGCTCGCTATCAAAAGCCATCCATCACAAATTAGAGTAAAAGAGATACTAGAAAACCAGGTTCGTGCCACAAAGTGTGAAACAGTGCAAAGATAAAAAAAAACAAAACAAAAAAAACAACAACAAAAAACAAGTCGCTAAATAATTTAGTGTATTAGATTGAGGATATGGTTAATTTCAGATGTGAGTACATACTGTAGTATACACACAAATTTTGTGTATGTGTCTTCTGGAATCAAATAAAATATGAACAACCTCCAAGAAACGCTATTCGAGATGATAAATCTGATATCTTTGAGGTTAGTTAGACCTTAGGATTTATTAGAATTTGAACAGCGTATGACTTGCAAGAGAACGTGGTTTGGTAGACGATAAATCTCATTGACAAAGCACATTTCTATTCCAATTTTCACATAATCCCCAGTAGAAGACAAAACCTTCCTTTGAAAAGAGATTTTATTTTGCTGGGAATTAAATACTGTGGTCCATGACGTCATGGAAACATAAAGGATTCACAAATGCCATCAGTAATTTAGTAACAACCTAGCAAAGTCATTGAACTAACCAATTACTTCGAAGGCTGAAACAAGCATTTATTTTATTAGACAAAGTGTTAAATACTGGATATGAAAAGGGTTAAAAAGGGGACTTAAATTTGTCTAGTTGTAAGATTAGGGATTCTAGTATGTTTCTATGACGTCACACACTCACATTTCAGCACGATCTACAATCTACTGGGTGGTCCAAAAGTCTTGTCACCCATACATAATATAATTAACTATTTCAAATGACTGACACGAACCCCTACAGTTTGGAAGAGAGGTTGCTTGTAAGTGTATGGACACATGACCGTGTTTATTCTGGCAAGAGCATGGAGGATGTGCGACATGATTTACGTTTTATTGTTCTCATTACTTTTTGGTAGGGGTGACAAGACTTTCGGACCATAAAAGATTTAAAAATTGATTATAACTTATTTTTTTTTCTCTTGCTTTAAGATCTCAATTTGAGTTAGTCAATTTTTTTCATGAAGTTTAATCCCCAAAAATTGAAAATATAGATACATTTATAATTGTTTCTTAATTTAAACAAGCCTGCAATAGTGGAAAACCTAATGAGTTCAAGTTCAGTGTCTTGCATGATGGCGAAACCTAATCTATCTGTTTATGTCTCATAATCATTTTTACCAGAGTTCATATTGCAATGGGATCAGACATATATCGATAGGATGAAAGCTCGCCATTATACACATGGAATACTTCGAAGAAAAGCCATTAGAATCCACATCACTAAAGACAACCGTATGGCTGAGATACGTAATGACGCATCCATACCCTGGCCACACCAGGAAGACGTCCAGCTATTACTAGACTATGTGAACTCAATAAGATCATCGATAAACTTCACAATGGAGAGAGAAAACGGCAACAAACTCGCCTTCTGAATGTACTAATATCTCGAACGGAGCATAGGTTCAAGGCATCCGTATACCGCAAGCCAACATTCACCGGACAATACCTCAACTTTGATTCCCACCACCCATACAGTGTGAAGAAAGGGATCGTCTGCTACTTACAACATCGAGCAAAGTGGCGACCCAGAGATATATGAACAAGAAATAGTCACTATAAGCAGTACCCTACAACGTAACAATTACCCCGAGTACATGGCAGCAGCTCCAACGAAATGGGATAGAAGGGTACAAGAGGATAACACTTAGAAAACAACTTTAGTCTGCCTACCCTCTGTGAAGGGATTATTGGAGAAAACATATCTGTGGTCCATATAACATCAGGACGACCTTCATAAGTGGTTTAACACTCCGTAGACACTTCTTCTGAGTAAGATCCTCCTCCCCTTAGAGGAGAACATAACTAAGGACTGTGTGTACGCCATCCCGTGCAGCTGCGGTAAGAAATATAAACGAGAAACAGGCCGCCCCCTTAAGGTAAGGCTGCAAGAATATCGTAAAGCTGTAACACGAGGGAAAGTAGAAAAATCAGGCGTGGTTGACCACGTATGGAGGGAAAATAGAGATCACCACGCCATGAGGGGGTGAGGTTGAAATAATAGACAGAGAACATCATTGGAAAATACGAAAACTTAAGGAATCAGCACATATGCTAGACTACAAAAATCTCTTAAGCATATAAACATAGAAATGAATACAATATGGGAAACAGTAATATGGAGTGCGAGAGAAAAATTGTCATTAAAATATTTGGAGAAAAGACAGAGAGAAGCCACGTCACGCTGGCGGGAAAATGACTAAAGTTGAGATGTCGTAATTACATTAGAGACCTGTCTTTGAACTTTGTCAAGAATCTCAAGATATATAGCAGGAGCACCAGACCAGACGTGAAAGTAATATTTAATGAACGGACGAAAACTTTAGTCGTAGCTTGACCATAAAGCTGTCATCTTTGTTTATTCACTAGTGTAGTCAATTCGTTCCTCATTGGGAATCTTCCTATCATGGCCCAGTCCTAGATTAAATTGAAAAACTCTCGTAATTCTTAGTGTAAGCTTGACTCTTGCAGAGTGCCCAACACTTGTTAGCAGTGGGTCATCCTAACCTAAGCTGAGCATACGATTCATAGATATAACCCTAGCACCTGTTACTGTACTCATAACTTTTATATCGTAATTGATAACACATAAGACATCCGTTCCCATCATTTATTGTTAATATCAAAATATTATGAAGTCAGGTTAGCTCCATGTACTGGTAGTTTCGGTTGTCTGAGTAAAACATTAGCTTGCTTGATAGTTTAATGGATGCGCAGGTAGCGTAACAGTTATCAACGCGGTAAGGGGAGCCGGCGATCCGAGTTCAAATTCGGCCTAAACTGATCGTTGCATTTTCGTACTTTGGGAAAAAAATTTCTAGAACATATTTTCTTTCTTGTCAATGCACTTAACCCAATACTTAACTATTAATCACATAATTTTCACTGTAATGTTCGACCTAAACTCAAATGTAGCGAGTCGCGGAATATATATTATATATATAAATATATATATATATATATATAAATATAAATATATATATATATTATATATAAATATATATATAAATATATATTTAAATATATATTATATATTTTATATAAATATATAAATATATTTATTGCACATATATATTTTATATATTATATATAATATATATAAATAATATATATTTATAATATATATATATATATATATATAAAAAAATATATAAATATATATATGTTTGGTATATATATATAAAAATTTATATAAATAGAAAATAAATTGGTATAAATATATATAATATATATATATATATATATATATATATATAATATATATATATATATATAGGATATATATATATATAATATATATATATTATATATATAATATATAAGGATATATATAAATATATATATATATTATATATATAAATATATATTATATATTAAAGACATTTTATGTTTAACGTTGTTTTTTTTATAGATATTTTTGATTAAGTAAATGCTCTGTTTATGATAAAAGAACATTAAATAACATTTAACAGCCTGAATGTCCAAGAAATTTTCATAGAAAAATGTTCGTTCTTTTGACAGGATTCAGCACCTGCATCCTATACGGAACCGTCATTTATATAAATGTTCAAGATACAAAGAATCGTTCGGTAGACAAGGTCGAATTTAAAAAACTGTTTAAGAAATTTCAATCTTCCATGAATCTTATAACATTTTCATAAAATGCTCTGGCGTATCAAAGGTAAACAAATGACATCATATTAAGAAATGGACAAGGTCCGACAATTTATTTATTAAAGACTTTTTTTATGTTTAAACAACGTTAAACATAAAATATAATATATATATATATATATATAATATATATATCAATATAATATATATATATATTCATATATATAATATATATATTATATATATATATATAATATATATAATATATATAATATATATATATATATATATATATATATATATATATATATAATATATATATGTAATATATATATATATATATATATATATATATATATATATATATATATATATATATATATATAATATATATATTATATATATGTATATATATATATAATATATATATATATAATAATGCAATTTGAACATATTTGGATATAAATTGGTTGAAATTAACCTTAAAAAAAAAAAAATGGATGCACGTATATCGTTGAATTAACCTTTAAAAAAAAAAAAATAAAAAAAAATGATTGCACGTATATCGGGTTGAATTAACCTTTAAAAAAAAAAAGTTAATACCCTTAAATTAAGCTATAGTTGTGATGATAACCTATTTATAATTAAAAACATAACAACATAGTCTTTAACAAGTATAGAGTTCAAAAGGCTTGACTAATTGCAACAAAGTTACTAACTTTTTTTTTAATTATAAGAATACAACTAACAACTGATGTAATTGTAGGAACT